AGAGGCTAATTCTTCATTTAAAAAAATTTTTTATACCTCATTTCATGACATTTTGGAGTTTCTGGTGTTTGGTTTGAGGTATAAAATATATGCATGTGAATACTTAAGTATGTGCAATTTTTTTCACTTTCCCAAACTTTTTATTTAAAAAAATTCAAAAGTAAGAACTTAAATGAGTACTACAGCAAGCATCATGTAACCTGTATCTGAATTCCCCAGGTTTAACATTCTGCCACCTTTGTTTGAGCTCTATGCGGGAACAGAAAGAGAGAAGGAAGAGTAAGAGAAAAAAATATTTTTCTTTGACTAGGCCATTAGAGTGTCAGACATAATATTACTCCTAATTATATTAGCTTATGTATCCTAAGAACAAGGACTCCTCCCACATAACCACAATATTATTATCAAGTATGTGCATTTTTATGTGAATATTAAAGCCTGACTACGGAAAGAACATATTGCTTCAAGTAAAGGTAATACCACAGGATTCTAGTGTTGCTTCTGACTTTTGTAAGACTTAAGAGTGAACAAAACTATGAACTTACTCAGCTTTTGATAACTGAGAGATAAATTAATTTCCACTTAGTTCCATTCAGACTAAGTATTTCTATTAACTAAGGTACAGCTAATGTGACCACTTATAGTCAGAAAAGACAAAATTCACATCTTCTTGCATAAAAACAAAAGTAAATGGCTGTTTGACACTAGTTCTATTAATAGGATGTCTGGTTTTATGCTCGTCTCTTTTTGCTTTTTACTCTGCTAGCCTATGTTATGTGTTATGTTCTTTTATATCTTTCATGAGCAAAGTTGCTTATGTAACATAAAGGTAAGATAGTTAACTGATTTTATCTTAGAATCTAAATGAAACATGCTTTTTTTTCTGAGTGCCTTTCTAACTGAATACCTTGATATACATTCAGAATAGTTTTACATGTTAATTATTAAACATTTATAGTCAGATTAAGATAAATTTTAGCAAAACTATAATCTCAGCATAAAATAGGATAGAGAATTATTTCTCTACATTTTAATCTTACTGCTTATAATTTCTGTGTAAAAAATAGCATTGAATTGCTACTTTATGACTAGATGTCTTTCTCTGATATTCACCACTTTTCTTGGTATTTGAATTTTCGTAGTTTTTTTTTTTTTTTGAGTTGGAGTCTCACTCTGTTGCCCAGGCTGGAGTGCCGTGGCATGCTCACGGCCACTGCAGCCTCGACCGGCTGGTCTCAGGTGATCCTTCCGTCTCAGCCTTTCAAGTAGCTGGAACTACAAGCACGCACCACCATACTCAGGCAGTCTTCTCACCTTGACCTCCCAAAGTGCTGGGATTATAGGCGTGAGCCACCATGCCTGGCCTGAATTTCCATAGCTTTTAAATATACAAGACTTGGGATTTTTTTTTCTTTTAATAATAATGGGGGCAGATTAAATTAAAGTTAAAAAATATATACGTGTATGTGTGTGTGTGTGTATGTGCATATATATATATATATATATATATATAATGTGAAACATGCAATTCTATTAGGGTACGTTGCTTTCCTTATAATTAAAGGAGATATTTAAAAAAATTTTTATTTAAAAATTTTGGGGGGAAGACAAGGTCTGGCTATGTTGCCCAGGCTGGTCTCAAACTCCTCACCTCAAGCAGTGCGCTTACCTCACCTCCTGAAGTGCTGGGATTACAGTAGTGAGCCACCTCACCCAGCCTTTTTTTTTTCTTTTTTGAGTTGTAGTCTAACTCTGTTGCCCAGGCTGGAGTGCAGTGACACACTCATAGGCACCCCAGTGTCGACCTGCTGGGCTCCGGCGATCCTTGCACCTCAGCCTTCCAAAGTAGCTGAAACTTCAGACGCGTTCTACCACGCCTCGCTCATTTTTTATTTATTGTAGAGACAAAATCTCATCAAGTTGCCTGGGCTGGTCTTGAACCTGTGAGCTCAGGCAATCCATTCGCCTTTGCCTCCCAAAGTGCTGAGATTACAGGCATGAGCCATTGTGCCTGACCGACCCCCAGATATTTTTTTTACAGAGTTATTTATTTTATAATATACCTTTGCTAATTAATTAACATCTCCTCCTCATTCCCTACCAAATTGAAGGATTTTGGTTCAGACTTTTCATTGAGAATGAATGGCATGTGTGTTTAGCACTCCTCCCCCATTTTTGCTCTTCTTAGCACATATGTCTTTATTGGGAAAAGACTTAATATTTTCAAGAGTTAGAATAAACTATTTTGTGTGTTGTGTGTGATGAAAGAGCATCACGGAATGAACCTTTCATGTATTTAAACCAGATGCATTTATTCTGGATTGGTTTATCTGGTTTATTCTTGTGCTTCCTTCTTTTAGAGGCCTACCTCAAACTAAGTACTTCAGGTTTATGTTTTCTTGTCTGGCATATAGTTTATTCTATCTCCATAGCACTGTGTATGCAATTTTATTAGCGTTTATTATTGTAATTGTAATTAGATACATGTCTAACAGTGCTCCACAGAGCACTGCTTTTGAGAAACATGCTATTTCTAGTTTATAGTAGGCTCTCATATTTATGGAACAGGTTAAAAAGTACACACTGTGTGTCAAGAGACCATTCAGTGCTGTTGTTAAATTTATCATACTAGTGTTTCCATGGGATACTTTTATTTATAAGAAATGCTCGGTTGTATTATATTTTAGCCTGTTCACCTGAGGGAGGGGGAGTGTATTGTATGACATTTTAGTGCCATCTATTGGATACTTGTTAAAATGACTAAAGCTTCTTAAAGTGTCTAAAAATGTAACGTCACTGTATCCTAGACTGTTGTTGTTGGCATTGCAAAGTAAACGCATATTTTTGTCCCCCTAAAAGCAGTATTAATATCTACCAGCACATAAAATATTAATGGTAATACTTGGCTGCAGTTTTACTTACTTTTCTAAAGAAAATTAGCCAAAACATTTATGGAAATGTTGTTAAACAGGAAGTTTTAAAAAAATTTATCTGTTAAAACCAATTTTAATTTATAAGAGAATATTAGGTTTTGGTTTGAGAAAGAATTTTAGTTGGAAGAAAAGGCATAACTTGACACTAAGTATTTTTCAGTTAAGTGCTTTTTGACTACCCAAACACTTGGTGCTGTTTTGTATATTTTGAACAGTACACAAATTCTGTTTAATTACATATTACTTTGAGGTGATTGAGGAGATAGCTTAGGTGTGTCTATTTAGTGTTTGAAGAGCAGTGAACTAGAAGAGGAGCTAAGGTGCAAGTGTACCACTAATAGTCTGAAATCCGTGATGATGCTGGATTTAAGATATAAATATATGTGCAAATAAATTATGTATTTATCATAATATATGTGAATTGCTCCTGCCTTTAAGAAGCTTTCAGTCAAGGGGAAGAAAAGACAATTGAGAAACTGATAACGCTTGTTATATATGTAGCTTGGGAAAATGCTTACACATTTTACAACATGGAGTTATTGTTTTTTGTATTGATTATGAATTTTTTAAAAAGATTGGAAAATATAGTTTATTTAGAAAGTAAATTAGAGAATAGAGAGGAGAGTCACCTCCCCAAGGTGGGGGGAAGGGCCAAAACTAGGAAACATGGTGACCATACCTCAAAGAGCCACGTGGCCAGACCAGAGTTTAGCAAAGCAGTAGCCTGGCTATAGGTTTCTGATTGTGTTTTCTTTATGGGAATGAACAAAAAGATGTGCAAGCTTACTGTTTCATAATCAGTAAGGCTGTTGTTGGTGTGCTTTGTATTTCTCCACTTAAAAAGATTCATAGTTTTGGAAATGTACCACTCTGAGGAGGTTTTCAAAAGCAAGGAAGGAGTATTCCTTCTCAGAACCCCACAGAAATCATGATGAACATGAAAGAAATTCTGTATTTCTAGTTGGTTTTTGAATATTGTGCTATCAGGCAAACATTTTATCTTTTATTTTGTGCGCTGTCTTCTGGCAGAATAATAGTTTTCTCATTTTTAGGTTTGGATGCAAATAGATTATTGATTTTTGGACTCTAAAACATCTAAGATGTTTGTTCTCTTATGAATAACATTTACTGTATTTATTTATTTTTGTTTTGAGTTGTAGTCTCACTCTGTTGCCCAGGCTGGAATGCAGTGGTGCGCTCACGGCCACCATAGCCTCGAACCGCTGGGCTCAAGCAATCCTTCTGCCTCAGCCTTCCTTGTAGCTAGAACTACAGGCATGCACCACCACACCTAGATAATTTTTTAATTTATTGTAGAGATGAGGTCTTGCCATATTGCACAGGCTGGTCTCGAACCTGTGGGCTCAGGCAATGCTCTCACCTCAGCTTCCCAAAGTGCTGTGATTATAGGCGTGAGCCACTACGTGAACCTAACATTTACTTTAAATGTTTTCACAATGTACTGTTAGTCTTATGTTGACTTTTATAAGAACATAATATGATGCTAAGAGTATGATTCATATAGTGGTACAGTGGAAAGGGACATGGAATTGAAGCTAGAGACATTGGGCTTGAGTCCTGACATTACTCCCTATTTTCTTTCCCTTGTGGGAGAAAATACCGTTTCAAACTGCCTCTAAAAAATGAAGGACTTTGTAAATATTGTGTCTTGGGTGGAGAAGAGCTCTTTAGGAAAATTTTCTGTATTTAAATAAACTCCAACTTGATTATTGTTTGTGTTGCCTTGCTGGTAAATTTAAGCAGTTATTAGGACTTACAATTAATATATTAAAAACTTTTTTCTCAGTCGGTTCTGAAACATTCTATTAATTTTGAATGCTCTTTTGTTGCTTTTTAAAGCAAGGAAGGGGGAGTTGGTTTCTTGGTAAATAAAAAGACATGTGCTTATTGTCTATTTTTAAATGACTCATCCATTCATTTTCTTATAGTATTTTCTTTTAGAGCTGAGCACATAGGTGACTAGATATGGTTTGAATTAGTGAAAGAAATAATGTTACTTCTTTTGATAATTACTGACCTCAAACTATAAAATATATTCTCTTGCAGTATCCCTTTTACTATTCAGCGACTATGTGAATTGCTAACAGATCCAAGGAGAAACTATACAGGAACAGACAAATTTCTCAGAGGAGTAGAAAAGGTATTTGTTTTGTTATTGTATACCTGTGTATTAAACTGTAGTGTAATAGATTTTAGAAAAGAATATTGAGTAAGATCCATTTCAGGTACCTTTTTTGAAATAGCTTTTCCAGCCTATCGTGAGTTCTTCCTTAATTGTTTTTCAGTTTGTGCTTGTTCTTTGTTTCAGAGAGAGATTTAGATTGAATAAGAGAGGGCAAAGGAGGACTTGCATGTCGGTCATTTTAGTCTGAGGAAAGCAGCGTATTATTATTTATTGGAAATTCCTAGTATACATCAATATGTTAAGGGTTCTGAGAAGTTCTACAATTGATATTTTAACTTTATTGTCGAGTGTTTTTTGAAGTTATTTACCCATGAAATTTATTTCTCAATTCTAGGGTCTGGAGGTACATAACTTTGGAAACTTGCTAGCATAAGACACTTACATTAGGTATTGAGTAGAAAAGATACAGGTCAGATTTAAGGATAGCTGTGTTTGGTTTTGGTTTTTGGTTTCAGTTTTTTTGGTGAGTTAGCGTTAGGGAATGTTAATCGTAAAGGAAGGGCATTCTGGACAGAGGAAACAATGTGATAAAAACATCAAAGTATTGAGAAGTAAGACTTTATTTATCTTGAGCGAAAAACTAATGAAGGAACCCAAAATTGGGTTACTGACTTTTAGTTGATCCTAAAACAGTCCAGTGTTTATTTTAAGGTTCTGGGTCAAATTCAATTTATTTTACCGAATAGGGCTCTAAAACCACTACATAGTGATTTATGATACATAGTTCTTTGGGCCTTATTGGATTAATATGTTTTGTTGATCCTCTGTGCCCTCAATTGAGTACGATCCTCAAAGGCCAGGAAATTGTGATAGTTCATCAGTACTTATTCTTCAGGTCTGGGACTTTTCCTAATTATAACATTTGGGGATCTTTGAATGAAGAGGCAATATGTCACAGTAGCCATAGCAGGAACCCCTGCTTTCAAATCAGGACTGCAATGCTTCATAGTTGTACAGCCGTGGGTCAATAACTTAAGTCTAAGTTTCCTCTATAAAATGTGGATAATAATAGAACTGTGAGGAGGGTTAAATGCAAAGCACTTACTCTGGCTTATAGTAAACTTTCAGTGAATACTGACTCTTAATAAAGTTATTACTGGAAAAATTGTAGCTACATTACAAAATGTGATGCTGCCTACACAACAAGCTGTGGATTGGGCATTGCTTTTTACGGAAAACCATTTACTTTGCTTCAATCTTTAAACATCTGTGGGTGATTTCATCTAAAATAAAAGAGCGTGATTCCATTCTATTATGTATGGTATGTGAAGTCAAGGTTCCAGTGTAGCTAGATTAGGGTAAAAAAATACGACTTGCAAAAGAATCAGTGACTTAGTAGGATATTTTGTTTTGGCTCTTTGTTTTTATTTGTTGTTTTGGTTTTATTGTTTTACAAATTTCCATTTTCAACCATTGGTTTTCCTTTATTAGCAAAATTGGATTAAATGGAAATTTAACCCATCAGGGTGATTTTGAGATATTAAAAACAAATGATTACACCTTATGTTGTGATATTTTCCTCACATTAAATCACTGATTTTTGTTGTTACAGAATGTAATGGTTGTTAGCTGTGTTTATCCTTCCTCAGAGTAAGTACAGAGATTTTTTTCTTATTTCTAGAGTATTATTTAATTACTGGATTCTAATTATTCTGGTACATTACTAAAATAGATTGCATTTATTATATATGTAATTAAGCATAACATTTATACATAACTACCGTTCTGTTCCCAAAGTAGATTATTACTAATAATATTTACCTGTATATTGTTCCAGTAAAGAGAATTAGATGAAAGAGATTGGTAACTTACTGTAATTTTTATATTGTTGGATTTATGCACTGTCACAGCACTCACATCTCTGAGATGCCATCCTATGGGGGCATCTCTAGGTCATAACTCCTTAGGTTTGGAATATCTACTTGATGCGATTCTTCTTCATGATGGCAAGAAGGTGTTTCTGGCTTTTGAGATTTATATATAGCAAAGTAAGAATTCAGTTTAGGTTCCAGTTTCTCAACTGTGGCACAATGACATTTTAGCCCAGTTAATTCTTTGTTGTGGGTAGATGTCCTGGGAATTAAAAGAGGTTTCTCAGTGTCCCTGGCCTCTACCCATTGATGCCAGAAGTGTTCCCCTCTCCAAATATCTTCAGAGATTGCCAAATGTCTTCTGGGATGTGAAGGACGGGGAGCAGGGATTGCTCCCTGTAGAGTACCGTTGGTTTAAGGTTAACCTGCCTCTGCTTTCAGAGACAGCAGCAAGAGTGAATTTGTTTTTAGTACTTTCTCAAGCATATACCTGTGTTGCTAAATGAGATCCTAATATAACCCATAATATGTTTGTTGATAGAAAAACTATTTTTAAAAGATACATGATAAAAATAATTGCTTTCTTTATGAACTAAAATGTTTTATTGATGAATGTGAAATATTTTAAAAATTTATTTCTTGCACTTGTATTACATTAATTCTCACAGAGTCTTTTTGTTTAGGTCTGTGACAGTGAGATCTTAGAAAAGATGTTTTAGACCCATGATTCTTACCAAAATTAATGAATTAAACCATCAATAAGTATATTTTCTTTTCCTATAGGAAAAACAATTCCAATAGTTTAAATCGAATGAATGGTGTTATGTTTCCTGGAAATTCACCCAGCTATACCGAGAGGTGAGATTATTGATTTTTAATATACAAAGAGTTTGCATTTTCCTGGTTGTAAGTAGCAGGTTTAGTGTATTAATACTTTTTTAAAATTTGGCATTCTGTGGACAATATAGCCTATACTACCTAGAATTAGTTAATTTGGTAGGGCATGGTTTCAAAAGCAAAATTGCAGCAAATACTTTTGTGACATATTCATATAAACATACCTTGGGGGGAATGACTTTTTACAAAACTAGAAAATGATGTTCATTTATCTTATTGTAGGTCTAATATAAATGGGCCTGGAACACCCAGGCCACTTAATCGACCAAAGGTTTCTTTGTCAGCCCCCATGACAACAAATGGTTTGCCTGAGAGCACAGACAGCAAAGAGTCAAACTTGCAGCAAAATGAAGAGAAAAATCACAGGTTTGTATGCGTTTTATATTAAAAAACAAAAAAATGTGTTCATAAAAGGTTTAACACTTTATGAATAGTTTTTGTTACTTGCTGTTTATAATGTACTGTTGTGCTGAGGGACAGAACAGGTTTTAATGTGGCTCATAGGGACTGTGGCCTCTGTTTGCAGCTTTATTCCATGTTGAAGATGGGTATAGAAAAGATTGTTAATTTGGGTCTAAAGAAAGTAAATAGTTGTGCATCTCATGTATTTATTGGTTTTGAAAGTTACTTGAAAAGAGAAAGGGTCTTTATTAATAATTTGAAGTTTTGTGAATAGTTTCTCATTGTAGATCATAAAAGGAAACTTTGTATTCATATTTTATTTCAAATATCCTATATCACATAAAGAGAAAGACGACTAAATGAGTGAGAGGACTTAAGGAATATGTCAGTATGGAAGGCTTGTGGTTTTATTATAGGAGGATATTTAACTTACTGGAGAATTGCACAGAAAGGGCATAGAACATTACTAAGTCCTAATGGGAAATGTTCATGAAACAGTTTAGGTTGCCTTGAAATTACTGTGTTTTTCTTTGCTCAGATGTTATAATTTAACTTTGACACTAAGATACAATTTAAAAAATTATTTGGCCTTAAAAATGAGAATGTAGAAGATGAGGAAAAGAAATCTTATTAATGATGCTTTAAAAAAACATTTACAGTGACTCTGCAACATCTGAATCAGAAGTTTCCTCAGTGAGCCCTATAAAAAATAAACATCCAGATGAAGATGCTGTGGAAACCGAGGGGCATGAGGTAAAAAGACTTAGGTTTGACAAAGAAGGTGAAGTCAGAGAAATGGCCAGTCAGACAACTTCCAGTGAAATCTCCTCAGTTATGGCAGAAGAAACAGAGGCATCATCACCATCATCTCAGGATAAGGACAAAGAGAGTAGTTGTACCAGGCAACACTGTGCAGAAGAGGATGAAGAAGAGGATGAAGAGGAAGAAGAAGGTATTTAGAGACCATCTGTAAAAGGGTGGAGTAAGGAGCTCCTCAAATTCTTGTACTTCATTTTTTTTTCCTGAGAGAATTTAGCATAATGGAACTCCTTGTAATGCTGATGTTGGGCTTTTCTCCCACCTATATGTAGTTGCTGCTGAATTTCAGGGGATATGATTTGAACTGTAGAGTATCAGAATTCATGAAACTTAACTATGGAGGTGTTTTGAAAATAAAATTTAACTACAACAACATTTGCTTATTTTTAGAGTCTTTTATGACATCAAGAGAAATGATCCCAGAACGAAAAAATCAAGAAAAAGAATCTGATGATGCCTTAACTGTGAATGAAGAGACTTCTGAGGAAAATAATCAGATGGAGGAATCCGATCTGTCTCAAGCTGAGAAAGATTTACTACATTCTGAAGGTAGTGGAAACACAGGCCCTGTAAGTAGTGATTCTTCTGACTGCCATGAAACAGAGGAATTAGTAGGATCCAATTCCAGTAAAACTGGAGAGATTCTTTCAGAATCGTCCATGGAAAATGATGATGAAGCCACAGAAGTCACAGATGAACCAATGGAACAAGACTAACTAGAAACATTTAGATGCAGTATTTTACATACAGTTCTGGTAATAACACTGTATAAAACTTTTATGTAACAAATAACTTTTAGTTTTACAAGAGAAGCAGGTTGTAAAATAAAGTACTTTATGGATAATTCCTGATAAGAGTTGTACATGTAAGAACTGTGAATATCAGCTCCTCTGGGTCCTGCTTACCGCTGACTTTTTTTTTTGGTTTGGTCAAATCAGTGGTTTCTGTATAGATTTTTTTTTTTAATTTAGAATTAAAGTTTTTAAACTGGAAGGTAATAATTATAATTTTGAAATTTTTTTGAGATGATCACATTTAGTTTATACATTTGCAGAAAGCTTTTTGTCTTGTCTCTTTATGACAGCTCTAGCAGTTTTCATAGTTTGGTCATAGTTTCAACATTTTAACATGTGAATTATAGGGTTTCATGCTGGTTTCCAGATTTTATTGTTTGACTATGTACAATGGAACTTTAAGTCATATATACATATATGTATATATACATATATATATATTATTCTAAGGGGGGAAATGTTATATTTTTCTGTTTCTATAAGAGATGAATACAGTGGATACTTTTTCTATTGGTAATGATTGAGTTCACCTCTTTCAGAAGACAGTGTCTTTCTCTTCTGAGTAATTCAAATAAAATCTGGCCCTTGTGAAACCCTGGAAATCTTAGGTTTGTTGAAATACCAGGTTAAACACATTCCAAGAGATCTGTTCAAACTAAAATTCTTTTGTATACTTCTGAGGTGCCTGAGAAAAAAGACTTCATTATTTATGAGAAAATGTGCTTTATCTTGGAAATTGTGTTCAAACATTAGCTCACTATTTTGTAAAATGAATGCTTATGAAGCTGACATGAGATCATCTCAGAAGAACCAGGCAGGTTCCTTGACCTTTTGCTTGCTTTTCTGAACATTGTGGATATTACACATTTCTTTCTAAATTATTCTAGAGAATGCAAATGTCAATGGTATGAAACACCACTGTACTGGAAGAATTAATATATTACTTTAGTAATGTACCTGAGCTAAATAACTGAAGCTTTAGGGGTGCATAGAAACCACCATAATTTGTATGACATTTTGAAGTGAATTAAATATTTTTGAACATGCTTCTTCGACAGCCAGTGTTATATTTTTCAGATCAACACAAAGCACAATGATTACTCTAAACTCAATATTTTCAAATTCACATATTTAAAGTCATGCAAGCTGCAACTTCCCTGTCAAAATTACTGGCTGCCAAATTTATACTTGTTTCTTCAGCTGTACCTTTTGATATTTAGAATTTTTAAATTTCTGTAAAGTAGATTTTGTAGAATGTAATGTGTTCACTGCCTTTGTGAAGCGGTATATAATTGTATAATTTCTGTGTGTAAACTGAATGCTTGGGCTTTCAATACAGTATTCATATAAAGCAATAAATATTAATGTTATGAAATATTCGAGTACATTTTTATCAAAATATGAAAGAATCTCTTTTTTAGTTTCAGATACCTGAAGTACACAGATGAACTTCTAAAACTGATGCAAACAGTTTCTGACACTGTATCATATGCTTTTGGGTGATTTGGAGGGCAACCATAAGTTTTGCATTTTGACTACTTTAATTACCATGACTGAAAAAAACCAAAATGATTTGGCTGTTTATGTTCATAGGGGAATATACTACTGACGGACCTGTCAGGTTCACAACAGCTAGATATATTTATGAATATGTCTAATAGTTGAAACAAAATCTGAATCAAGAGGGGAGAAAAATTAAAAATTGTAAATTTTTAGAAATTTTTTGCAAAAAAAATGTTAAAATGAAGCAAATTTTAAATGTGACATTCATTTTTAGTGACCTGTTACTTTATTTTGTTGAGGGATATTTTGCCAATGAGAACAAATTTTAAATATTTTAAGTTTAGAAGTTTAGAAATTTTCTTTAGACTATTTATGAGATTATTGTCAATAAACCTATTCGTTACGATCCTGTGACCTTTGATACTTGTAGTGCCATGGACCATTTGTAAACAGATCAGTTTACTTTTGTTAGTTATAAGTTGAAGATTTTAGCATCATGACGTTGAGGTCTGTGGTTTTATTTGTAAACTTGCAATTGCTATTTTTGCAAGGGCAAATGTATTTCTTTATTAAATAAAGTACAATAATGGTGAATGAACCAAAATGACATCACTTAACTCTATGAGAGATCTGCATTTTAATCTATAGTTTAATAGTTTTAATATTTATTAGATATTCATATGTTGATCGTAGATCAAACTTGTTGCTGTTTATACAGATAATTGTAGAATGCTCATGAAATATCTTTAGGATAGGTGGAATACTTCTGTAATTACATTGGGAAACCATGTTCAGCTGGTTTTAGGTATTGACCATTTGGAAGTAAATTTCCACAAGTATGCATAGGTGCACTTAACACAGACTTTGCTTAATGAAAATATCAGTTCTAATAGTAATGGATTCATTTGTGAATTTTTAAAAGGCTAATATTAGACATATTTTCTTAACACATCAAGCAGAGTCCTATTAAAAGATCCAAATAAAGAGTCAAGACCTCAGCTATTGAAAGATATTTTGTTTTTGACCTTCAGCAGATTGCTTACCTGTTGCTCTAGAATATAACCCAACATGTAAAATGTATTTGAAGATGCTGATGAGGGAAGTGAGAATATATGTATTATGTTTTTAGCACTTTTCCCTTTTAAAAAGTGAAACTATCCTCGTGCATTTTTGAAGAATACACCTTCTCTGTTCTAAAAATGTAGCAGAACTAGGTAGAGAAAATGGCATAATTTAAATATTGATTATTAAATAAATTTAACTCATCTGCTTAGGGTTTAGCATAATCACCTTTCCCAGGTGTGTCCGGAGCCGTGGGATTGCCAGTCAGGGAGCCCGATCTTCTGGCTTGAAAAGGCATCCCAGCAATACTGGGCCAGAAGGTGTGGCCTGTTAAAGCATTGAGGTTCAGAGTATTTTGTTTTGCCGATGTAGATAGGCATGTATTTATGCATTTTTGCATTTGTAAAATCAGCAATTTTTCAAATAATGTAAATTTGATATACTAGTTTACTTATAAAGGTACTCGGGCAGAATCTAAAGCTGCTACAGTGTTTAATGAAAAATGTAACGTGGTAAGGATGAAAATGCAACTTGTAGAACCAAAGGAAATAAAAATTTTGGGTAGTGTTTCAAATTGTCTTCTGAACAGGAGTTTCAAAAATACATTGGTTTTGGTAAAATGAAGGTCATTTCTCAAGATTTGTGCTAATCATAAAATGGATGAATGCAAAACACCTTGTAATTTCATATGGAATTATTAAAATTAGGTTTACTGGGTTATTGACCTAATAATGCTAGTATGTATTGGTTAGAATACATCTACTATTTCACATTTTAAAATAATCAGTACACTTTCTTCAGAATTTTATTTCAACTTGGAGCCTAGATTACTTTGCCAAATAAATGTATTATTTTCATAATGCAATAAAATATAAATTAGAATATTTTCATGTGTGGAATTACTTTATTTGCCATAAGAGTTTACCCTGCTTTCCCCCTCTCTGCCTATCTCAGGTAGTCGAGGCATCTTCTCACCTGTAGGGAGAAAACTGTGTCTTAAGTGGTGACGGGATGTTCTGGCAGAGAGGGTGCCTCTGAGTTGAGTGGACAGTTATGATGCTTTACCAGGCAATTCAGGCCTGATTCTTGACAAAATCCAAACTCTCCTTTGGTATAATTTGGCACTACCTTGCATGCACAGGCCTCTACCGCATTTGTGGTATGTGTTACAACATTTGTGATAGAATCATTTCAGAAATCCTATTTCTAGACAACTCCATGGTAAGGAACATGTAATGATTGGAGTGGAGAGGAGGATTCTGTTTTCAGCGCGATTCACTTCATGCATGTTACCACACAGTGGAGAGCAGAGCAAGATCTGTGACTGTGAGCTCAGGAGACAAAAGTACTAGTTAGCATGTTTCTAACTTTAATTAAAATATTTTTCAGTTTTTGGCTTCTCATTCATATTTGAGCTCTTGCTTATTCCCACTAAATATTCTTTACTAAATGGTATAGCTAGTGCAAGAGCTTGGGGATAACAAGAGACTTCTGTCCACTGACTAATAATAAACTGCTTGATTTCTGGCTACTTCACTATCTAAAAGAGTAGGCAGTTCCTTTCTAGGGAACAACACTTTTAGTTTAAAATTCATCGGTAGTTTGTGGTCTGTGGGTTTATCTGTATTATTTTCAAGGTGTTTCTTCCCAGCGGAGTGTATTTTTTAAACTAAAAGGAATATTCAGAGATGGCAGCAATGCCTTGCCTGCGAGTGTGCAGACTCCACTGTTGTGTTCCTCCTTGTGGCATCACGAGCCACCCCATCTTGGTAATGAAATCAAAAGCAAGTGGGCTGGGTGCGTGTTGACTGCACAGTCCCCTTTGGATTCCTCAGTTTTGTTGATCCTATCTCTACTTGGCCCTCTTTGAAGGTCCTGAGTTCAACCTTGAAGCCTTTCTTTGATGCTAGCTAGGCTTGTGGAGTTGGATGTTGGCAGGAAACAGTGGAAGTTAAGACTGTACCCCCAGGAAATGAGCATCTCCACAAAAGAGATTTCTGTGAGGATGAGGGCAGCTATCCCTGACCTAGAGAAAGCATAACAAGCGCACCCTCCCCTGATAGGGAATAGGTGCCTCCACAAGTGGGAGGTTGGGTCATTGAGCCACTGAAGCCCAAGTTTAGACATGATGCAGTGGGACTTGATATTAGGTCAATAATGCTTGGATCAAGAAATCTTTGCAGTTGTGTAGGCTTGTAAGACTGGAGGCTGCTTATGTTTGCTGAGAATTTGAGAGCCATATGCGGTGTTAGTACTCTGTCTTCGTTTTGGATCATACCATTTTTCTTTGCACCATGTGCAGTACTACAGAACAGAAGGGTTGGCTTAGTTGCTGGTGACTGACAGGACACCCATGTGCATTTAGGAATACCTTCTGTCTCCCACTTACAACCTGCCTGGGCACCTAAGATTAACTTGGCTGGAATTCAGAATTCAGTTTCTCATATATAGAGGGTGCCGAAAAAATGTATACACTTTAAAAAATTTTTAAGTTGGAGTTTCACTCCATCACCCAGGCTGGAATGCAGTGGCATGCTCATGACCACCGCAGGCTCCACCTGCTGGGCTCAGGCGATCCTTTCCCCTTAGCCTTCCAAGTAGCTGGAACTACAGGCATGCACCACCATGCCAGGCAAATTTTTTGATTTACTATAGAGATGAGGTCTCACTAAGTTGCCCAGGCTGGTCTGGAACCCGTGGACTCAGGCAGTCCTCTCACCTCGGCCTCCCAAGGTGCTGGGATTATAGGCGTGAGCCACCACGCCTAACCTACACATTTTAAGAGAAAAAAACTTAAGATTGTAATAATGTATACCATTTGGCTTTTGCAATTACAAGAGATGCTCTAAGTGGTTACTGTCAGCGTCCAGACACTTCTGAAAAGTACTTTAGAAAGTAACAGGTAGATAACATCTCTTAAAATGCATGCACATTTTTTTGCATCTCCAGTATATTAAAAGGTGGCTAACTTTCAGGGCATTCTATCATAAGCTGTCTAGTCAATGTGAATGTATTATATAGTAAAGTACAGCAGTTGTAACATTTCTATTGAGAAATGCAATTTCTACTGTGGGTTTGTCCCAAAAAATGCATCTCCCACAGTTCTGGCAGTGCAAGTGAGGACCCCGCAGGGGGAAGTGTGTCAGGGAAGACCCAACAGCTCACCAAACGTCAGGGATTTTTTTTTGGTTTTTTTTTTGAGATGGAGTCTCACTCTGTCACCCAGACAAATATGTCTCAATATTTGGTGATTCAGAATACTGCAGGATTTGCAGTCCTGTCATGATGTTTTTGTATTGAATATTAGAAGTGGATTCAGTTATAGGAGGTGGAGATAAATTTCCAGCAAATTTCGTAAGTTCCCTCTAAAAATAACAAAGCACTGAAAGAATTCCAGGTGTTTGAGTATTGAGTCTGAATTTCAGGAAATGTATTTATGGTTATCACATGTTACTTACTCCAGCAGGTGGAGATAAGAAGAGGTACACAACATTGCAGAAAAGAATTTCTCTCTTGTGAGGTAGCAACATTTATGAGTTGCTTATGTATTGAGGATAAAAGAGTAGAGTCAGTTCAATTTTGACCTTTTATTTTTGAATAGGAGTCTCACTCTGCCACCCAAGCTGGAGTACAGTGGCACGCTCACAGCCACCACAGCCTCGACCTGCTGGGATCAGGTGATCCTTCCACCTCAGACTTCCAAGTAGCTGGAACTACAGGCGCACACCATCACACCCAGCTGATTTTTTTAATTTATTGTAGAGATGAGGTCTTACCAAATTGCCCAGGCTGGTCTCGAACCTCTGGGATCAGGCAATCCTCTCGCCTCGCCCTCCCAAAGTGCTGGGATTACAGGCATGAGTCACCGTGCCCGCTCAGTTTTCACCTTTAAAAATTGTTTAAATTTTAGATTTGGGGTACAGATGCATGTTCATTACATGGGTATATTGCCTACTGGTGAGCACTGGGCTTCTGGTGTCTCCATTACTCAAATAGTGAACATAGTGTCCGATGGGTAATTTTTAAACTCTCATTTTCCCATCCTACCCCCTTTTTGATGTCTCTGGTGTCTATTATTTCCATTTTTATGCTCGTGTACCCATTGTTTACCTCCCACAAGAACATGCAACATTTAGTTTCTGAATATTTTGATTAGAATAATGTTCTCCAACTCCATGCTGCTGCAGAGGACCTGATTTTGTTCTTTTTATGACTGTGTAATATTCCATGGTTTATATATATGACTTTTTAAAATCCAGTCAACTGTTGATGGGTACAATTTTGTTTAAAAATTCAGTCACCTTTGAAGAACAATAAGCAATACAAGATATTAACTAAAGGTGGTGTGTGAGTCGAGGTGCACAGGAGAGCCGTATTGGTGCAGTTGTGGCAGTTGGAAGGCTTCTCAGGTGAGGTGTGGTCAGCCTGGCCTCAGAGGAGCAGAAAATCAGGGAGGTAGCATGGCGTAATGGGTAGGATAGAGCAGCAGGTGAGGTCACAGCTTCACTGTCCGCAACTGAGGCCTCTTGAATGCATGGCAGTATTTCTTGGAGTCTTAGTTTTCCTCGTTTACAAAATGAGGATAATGATATCAACCTGTTGGGGTTACTGGGCGTGTTAAATAATTATGGGGAGAAAGCTAGATCTAGTCCAGAACCTGGTGTTTCTTTTAAGGGAAGACGGGGGAGGGGAAAATACTCATCACTAGGGAAGACAGTTTTACTGGAATCAAAGTCAAGGTTTCAATCCTGGACAATACCAGGATAAGAGCAAGCACTAATTAAGCGCTTACTTTATGTTCAACATTATCCTTAGCACATGTCATGCATTACCTAATTTAATCTTCTCAACTTCGTGAGGTGCTTAATATTATGTCTCTCTTTTTTTTTTTTTTTTTTTGGAGCCTCACTGTCATCCAGGCTGGAGTGCAGTGGCACAGTCACAGCTTACTGTAGCCTTAACCTCCTGGGCTCAGGTGATCCTTCCACCTCAGTCTTCTTAGTAGCTGGGATTACAGGCACGTGCCACCATGCTCTGCTAATTTTTTTATTTTTTATTTTTGTAGAGATGAGGTCTTAATGTGTTGCCTAGGCTGGTCTTGAACTCCTGCACTCAAGCGATCCTCCTGCCTCAGCCTCCCAAGGGTGCTGGGATAACAGGCATGAGCCACCACACCCAGCAAACAGGGAATAAGATGGAATTCTAATTAGATTGGCATAGTTAAGGCCGAAAATGTGAAGTAGACATTGCTACATTATCTTCAGTCTTTGTCTTTAAGAGGCCAATGAACACAAAACGCAGGTGAGTCTTGGTTCTGAGACAGTGAAGGGACTTAAATATATTCATATAGCCAGTTATAGAAATCTAAATATAAAGCCAGTCTCCAACAGATTTAAAAATGGCATTCACCATCTTTGTGAAAGGTTGAACATTACTAATCAAGTCCAATCTTATCTTTAGAAGGGGAAGACAGTGACGGCATTTACTAAACTTTTAACATTTTAAAAAACCGATCTTAACCACAAGGCAGCCTCAGTTATTAAATCAGGACTGTCCAAAAATATTCTGTCAGCCACTCATGGTATGAATTCTGGTATATGAGATCTTAAATTATGGTATACATAAAAATAGTCATGAGATATTTCTGTTTTGTAATAAATAAGGCAGTGGCCAATTATTACTCATTAGTAGCTTTTTTGAAATAAGCTATCAAGCCTGCCCTTTCTGCCTCCTCCTTAATGCCGGCAAAGACCTTTTTTGCTCCAGGGACGTACTTCTTGGGATTCTCCAAATACTCCATCAGTGTATCTTCTCCCCAGAGGAAGCCTTGGCTCTTACTGGCGTCTGTATAAGAGAATCCAGCAGCCTGACCTGTCTTGCGCCC